TAAACCGATTCTTACATACACCACACACATCTTATCTGTAGTGCAAAAAAAAAAAATAGAAGAGCAATACAATATTTCAAACAAAGAACAATGTTAACTGACATAAACTTACCAGTATTTCAATGGGAAGTGTGGGCCTGCTTTTAGCTGAGAAGAGAGTCAAGTGAATTAGGATTGCTGTTGTTGTGTGCCTTCAAGTCATTTCAGTTTTAGGGTGACCCTAAGTCAAAAGTTGGATAAATTATCTTGGGGGGGGGCATATCCAGCCCATGGGCCTTAGTTTGGGGACTCCCAAGTTTGCCCAAGTCTCATCCCTGATCTAATAGGGCCCCCACTCTGTGTTTTAAGGTCCTTCATTTTACATTTCTGCCTGCCTACCTGGAAGCATATCTCTTGAGTGGAATTTACTGCTGAAACAGTGTGCTTAGGATTCAGGTGCATCTCCCTAGCTTTCTACAGACAACACTAGAAGACAAGTCACATGATGCTTTACATTAAGAAAAAAACATATACATTCCCAATATACATGAAAGGTTTTCAAGACAATGTTATGGATCAGCTCTGTTCTAGTCTTCCATTTAATTGCGATTAAAAGGAGCAAGAGTTCTCTTCACCAAGCTGTAACAAGTCAAGACCTGTAGCACATTACTGGCATCAGAGCCCACAGCTTGCAGCCCATTTTTATAGCCGTTCTGAAGTCAAAAGCATTCTCTCCAGAAGGCATCCTTGGCCGAGTCAAGCAAAGCCACCCCCCTCCCCACTGTCACCCAAACAGGGTAATAACTTTATGCACTACAGGTTGAACTTGCAAAAAATCAGCCCAGACTTGTCTTTGCTCTTCATAGGTTTGCAATGAGATCATTGTGCTCCATTGAGAGCTCAAATTCTTTAGCTTGACAAAAGACATAGGTGAACGTGTCACGCTTTTACTGTTTTGCAGAGCTCAGATTCTGCAAAGATAACACGAGCTGTTCAGTGCTTGCCTAGGCTCTGAACGTGTGTTAATCTAAAATGGCTGCTCGGTAATACTTTAATTGCAGTTTCATGGCAACAAATTGCCACTTAGCTGTAATAAATTTTCTTGTGGCTTAGTCGGACTAACAATGAAGGCATGCACCTGAAAGAAAAGAAGACAATGGGAATCCAGAATGTTATGTTCTACAACGTCAAGGCACTGGGGAGCAAACCACAATGCCAAGCCAAAAGAGTTTTACACCAAAATATTTGGCACAAAGAAATATACACATGCCACAATCTCACTTCTCATCTTTATTATGAGAGCACTCTTCATAATACATTTCCCGGGTACCAGAGCACTGTATATTTTTAAGATCATTTAAAAATAATCTAGATGACAAATAAATATGAACTGATTGGCTAGTAGTCAACTTTTTGTAGCATTAAAATAGCAGTACTGTTCTCTTGACTACTTAACATAAACAATCTGTGCGAACATATATGGCCAATGCTGTACAGTAACAGAGCTAAATGTTTAAAGCAGAAGTGAAGAATGTTTCCTTTCAATGGTCCCTGATGCAAAGAAATGTAGGCGGTGAATGGAGCTGGATCAAAATCACCTACATTTTCAGGACTGCATATTTACATCCAATCCCAATCCCTCAGTGTCCCTCTCCCATGAAAATTAAGTCAACAATATTTTCCACGAGTAACCTTTTTCTATTATGTTACAGTTATAATTCTCTTTTATATAAGACACTGGAATCAAAATCATAAAGGACAAAGAAAGACCCTCTGACATGGCATATAGGATTTGCTTGGGAAAAGCTTGAATCATCCAGAGCATGGTGGAATGAGTAGATCTAATGGCTGGTAAACTAGAGAGATATTACCTATTAACAAAGCAGCCCATTTTTTCAAAATTAGTTCATCAAAAATAATAATCATTAATCAATATTACATAATATAAACATGAGAACTGTATTAATTCATGGGGATGATTTCAGATTAGTTCAATTGCCCGTTCAATACCTGAAAGCTGCAGATTTTGAACATTCAAAAGCATCTGTAAGCAAGATATACATAACATGGATTCTTGAGATCTTTGTGCCTACAGTAACTTCTTGATATAGAGAAGTTTTCCTTCCTTGTCCTAAACTTTAAGGTGGGAGTTGTGGTCAGGAGGGCCACCATTTTAAATAGTTCTTCATATAAGAGCAAGCTTTTCCAGTGCCCCTCCCAAACCGCCACTTACTTCCCCACCATTACAGCCCCTTTTTATTGTTTGATAGTTTCAAGAGTGTTTTACCCCAGGCAAGCATACTAGTTAAATATGTTCCATTGTATATTCATAACTCCATCAGTCCTCCTCCAATTTAGCACATCAAAGCAAAAGCTTCATCACTTGCATGTGGATTAGGCTAACATGAGTGACATTTGTAATCTTATAGGTCTGCAACTTAAGAAATGCTTTTAAGCTTGCTATTAAATAGGTAGCTGTGCTTTAAGAACCAGTCATATAATAGTTTATTTAAAGACTTTAATGAACTTCAGCCTCTTCATCGCTAAATGCCACACTATATTACTTACTGAAAATTATTAGCCATCATCTTAGTACTTCTAGGTTATATTAGACAACTGTAAACCTGGCACGTTCTGCTTTAACAGCCGCAGGATGAGTGCTTATATACGGAAAGAATGAATTTTAAAAGGATGTCTACAAGAGTGCTAATACATAAGCTTTATACTTCTATGCCTCAATCTCCTCAAAGGAAATCAGACAGCATAACTCACCGACTTCTACTGGCTCAAATATTTTAGTGGAACCCTGTTAAGGTTCACCTCTAAAACCATTTTTGTGTTTTATTGATTGTTCCTTGGATTTGGACCAGAATCATTTGAATATACAGGATGTTGAGAAATATTCATGTCACATTTTTCAAAAAAAAAAAAAGACCTGTAAATGTATGCAACAAACTGACATAAATGTGTTTGCTTCATGGGTTGAGAATACACTCAGTTTGACTGGACACAAAGGAGCTGCTAACTCATACTCCATCTCCTCTTCTTCATTCAGATTTCCAGAGTTTAATGCAAATTATAATATCTCAATTGTAATTTAACAAGATGTACCAGGGTTAGAAACCATTAATTCCCCAGCTCAGATGTAATGGCAAACTATGATCTGCAATACAATTAGAGGTCAATGAGAATGCAAGGGGAAAAAAGCCATACTTATGGTTTTTCATGCAACATGGAAGCTTAGTTTAGAAATGTACCTGAACAAACCCATAAGATACTCCAAGAAAGAGATCCACCACTGAAATGTGCATTAATTTTCACATTGGAATCTGAAGAATAGACACCTAGCATTTTCCTAGTATGTGTATTTTCTACAAAATATCACATTCAAGACTCCAAATTTCTAATTACTTTGTCAACAGGCCTGAGAGATAGAATTACACAACACAATCTAATTGGCAGATTGATATCGAACACCACAAGATCCTGCATTAGATTAGGAAGTAACTCAGGCACCACATAGCTTCCTGTTACTCTTGAACTATTACTCTTCTAATAGTTCAAGAGTACTCTTCTAATGTGAAATTTAATCTGAATACAGAATTATCCATCTCATACCTTTCATTTAGACTTTCAGTCAATATTTAGAATTGTAGGATATTTATATAAAAGGAAAATGAACATTTCACATTTGCCAGTCCTGGAACAACAGTGGTAATTCCTATGTGGAGATACTGAACACTGTTCCAGGAAATAAAGTTGATTCCGTATTAAACTGGATACTGTTGGAAGTCTTCTCTTATTACACTTTAGCATTGGCATCTTTGGTCACAGAAAGGATCCAGTTTTACCTCCCATACAAGAATAAGTCCATATTTCAGAGCTAATTCTTCTGCTGTGCTTTTTTCCAAAAGTAACTTGTGATATTCTGTGAAAATATTTCAACAGTTACAACTGAAGTTTCTTGAGGGCCTTAGCTTGCCACCCCACTAATCATTTACCAATGTCGGATGCGCTCTTGCTTCATGTCAACAACATATTTACATTTCATGTTTTCTCTTTTCTTCCACTCACTTTTGAGAACCATTCACCTTTGGGAAAATAGCTGTTACCAGTCCTCAGCTATTAAATTTTCTTTCTAGTATTTTCAATATATGTGCATTGTTTTCTAAATGCGCACACATTATCACAGCTGTATTAGGTTTGTATGTTAGCTGCCGTGTACTTGCTTCTGAATTTCGTATACCATGCTGTGTTCCCCTTCTCTGTATACATCATGCTGTGTTTCAGATTAACTGGATAAAATAGAAGGGTTTTGCATGTATCTCACCTTTCTTTTCCTTGGCAAACTATTTAATGAAACTTTCCAGCAAGTTTCCATTATGTTACACCTTTGCAGCATCAGAACACAATAAGCACAGGCGGCCTATTATTAGAGACAAAGGGCATAAGGAAGAAATTGAACTGCACCACCATTTCATAGACTCTAATGCCACAGAAGGACCTGAAGTGAAGTTATTCTCTCAACATGGTGTTTTATATTGCAAACTAGAGTCCTAAACCAGTCTCCAAACCCAGGAAAAATTTGAACTTCAAAATCTGGATGGTACAACAGTTTTTGGATGCAGCCCAGCCTTCTCAATTCACATAGAAATGATTGTATAGAGCAAGGTAGGAAAACACACACACACACACACACACACTTCCTATTGTTAACAAAGTTTAGGTGACTTAGGTGAAGAAAGCACAAGATTAATCGCACCAAGAGCTTAACTAATGAAACACCGCTGTTATCTGAATAAATATTTGAATGACTAGACGTTGCTTTTCAGTTCTACAGAGCTGCCAAAACTGACCCGTTATTTAGAGTTCAATGCATTCCTTACTCCCATAAAACTGTTGAAAAGCAGGAAAGTCAGATTTTGAAGTTTTTAAAAGTGCCCTTAAAAGTGACAACGATGTAAGCTTTCATTCCTTGACAGAGGTTTTCCATGGCATACTGAAGTCCAAACTCAATTAAGGATGTTTTCATTTTAAGTTTTTATTATTTAAATACACCATACTAGAGCAAATGTCTCTGAAAGTATCACAAATAAAAGATTTTTTTCTTCTTCATTCAGCAAATTAGGAGTAGGTGAAAATTTCTACACAGTAGCTGCTATGAGCTTGATTTTTTTTTCTTTTTTGTGTCATGGGAAGTAGCAACATTAGGACAAAACACACTTACATGCATACATACATTGTATTTTACAGAGATACAACAAAAGTGTTTGTGATAGAATATCACAAGAGCCCCATCCTTCCTTTAGCTCATGTCTGAGTTTTGAAACACATTTCCTTACAACACTTAAATATACAAAGAGCAAAGAGAATGTTGTTAAGGTAAAACACAGGGTACAAATTCTGGCCAGTGCCCTGCTAATTGTTAATGAGGGTAGAAAGCAGACTTGAAAGCTTATTTTAATTAGCTTCATTAGTCATTTTCCCCACCCCTCCCACCCAAAGTTGTTCTCCTCCAGTGGATTTTTTTTTTCATTTTCTCTACAGTCTCCCATTAGCCCAGATTCATGGAGTCCTTAATGTTCATTTTCAGTCATTGTAATACACCAATAAATGTGGGAAGGGCAACCAAGAGTAAAGAAGGTGCAATGGCATGAAGCTGGCACTGATGCTAGCTACAAGGTGACTTGTCTACTGGAGACATGGGATCCATCTGTGATGAACAAAGTTTGAGATGAAGGCACGCATTCTGCAGTACTCTGACCTTTTAGCAGACCTGGAAGAAATAAAAATGGGCATCTTAGCTAAAAACGTTTGACTTGAGCTGAACATAACTGCTTTCATCTCCTCCTTATTCACTTATTTTATTACATTAGTTTCCAACGGTGACTCAATTAAAGGTTTTTCTGCAACAGTCATCTAAATCCCTAAAGAATCCAGATGGGAAAATAGACCACAAAATATTTTTTTTCTAGTTTGGCACCAAGATACACTTTCACAATTAATAATTACAAAAAAGAGCTTCTGGTGGGAAATTCTACAATTCCTTCTTTTCTTTTGCACAAGATGCATTTCCTTTGGACGGGGATGAAATGGCACGCCTTGCCTTTGAAGCACCAAGTACAGTGATCGTCTAAATTAGGAAAAATTCTGTCTAAAGAAAATAAGATACCCTCCCCAGGCAAGGCTGGTTAACATGCTGCATAGCACAAAAGCTAAATATAGACATTTTGGAATATTTTCCTCCCATTTAAGATTCCTCGTCTGCTATGTTAGTTAATGTTACATAAACTCTGTAATATATGAAGTCAAACATGTGCCTCCACTGTGATGTGTTAATGAATTGCGATAATTAAAAATGCCTAGCTAGAGAGAAGCCTAACTTCCACGGATAAAGTAAAAACGATCGACAGTTTTAAAATGCAATCTGTTTGCAATTACCAAAATGAAATAATATATTTGATTTTTATGGTTTTTAAATGACATTTTGAGCTTCCTAAGAAGTTTTTTTTCTACCCTTTCTGTAAGTTACTAAAAGCCTGAGGTCTATTAGTAACTGCAACCCCCCACTTTCAAGCTAATTAAAGTGGTGGAAGCTTGGAGGTTTAATTCCCCAGAGCTGATGCTCAGTGTGAGAAAGGTAATTTGTCTGTCCAGAACAAAGATTAGGGAGCAGCCAGCAAGCATATTTAATAAATGAGCATCAAGTGTCCTCTACTATGGACACAGACAATACCAATTATGTAAGTACAAGGGAATTGTTGAGCGATATGTAAACTAGAAGATTCTGTGCAAGAGAGAGAATAGCAAAACGTAATCTAACTCATGCTTTATTTAAAAGTATAGGAGCAAGAGCCAAGTGAATACTCCGATCACTACCAATGAAAGGAAAAAGTATACCTTGTAAAATAGGGGCAGCATGAAGGGGATCAAGCATACCACCATGAGCTTTAAAGGAAAGCCCTCAGCTGCAAAGCATCCATCAATCTCCATGGAGTTTGTTTGGTTGTTTAACTATGATTATTTTAATATCCAAGTCACTGGTGATTGTTAGTTTGTTTATCGGAAGGATACTATTTAAGAAGCATCTTCCCACACAAAGCCTAATAGGAAGCAGTTCTGTTCAGGAACTTAATGTTTTGGTGTATAACATTCACCCACATCTGATGAGCAAAATGCACATAGGGTCAGACTAGCCATTTCTCTAGAAACTACTGCTCACCCTAGGCAAGCAGACAATTACAACACTGATAACTCGTGAATGCTTAGCCTAAGGCATAATGTGTGTTCAAACAAAAGAAAAGAAAAAAGGAAGATACTCTAGAAGAGATGTGCCACTTTGGTCCATAAAATTATGACGTTTCTCTCTTATATAAGAAAAGATACTGGAACCAGCTCCTTATTCTCAAGACCTGACCAACATCAACTCCTGATACCAATTTAAAGACAGAAAAAACTGATGAAACTCAACTCCATTATTCTCTAGAGATTATTTGGCTAACTTCAGATGATTAACCTTTTATTAAACCAGGGAGGTGATAAAGGAGAATATGGCTTATTGTTTTCAAGTAAGATAAGGGGGATATCACTGGGGCTTTCATCATGCCTTCTTCTGCACCTATTAAAACCAGAGGCATTTGTGTTGGCTCCTATATACAGCAATCACTATTTGAATGGCTAGCAAAGCAAAGTCTTCCATGGTACAAGTGGAATGGCGCTACTGACACTGCCTTCTGTTTTTCTCCTTCCCTTTTAAAACATGGTAGCAATGTCTAACAACCACAGAAGAATGTGCTCTTACTGTACCCTTCCATCATAATGAGTTACATTTAGGATGGATGCAGTTTTGTAATTGCAGCATATGCTTGTTTCATTTCTACACTGACCGCCGACATGACTGTACTTTTGCAGAAGCACAGAAAGACATGCAAACATATTAAACTTTAGCACACATACACAATACGTAGATAAAAATGAAATGCTAGACCATTTCACTCTTCAAAACACAAAATATCTTGCCTACTTTAATGAAGCCATTTGCTAGTAAAATTTGCCAGCTAGGGCTGAGGCTGTATATGTCTTAGGATTCCAAAAAGAGTATCAAAAACTCTCTTATTTAGGAACAAGCACCAATGAACTCAGAAGGATTTACTTTCTTAGAACATGTATTCAAGCTCTCAGCTTTAAATGTGCTCATAATTACTATATAAGTGCCAATATTTAACCACATTCTGGAGTATAGAGAACTACTAAGTGACAATTTCATGTTTTCTGAAAATATTTACCCTCTAATGGCAGACATTTATGTATTCTCTTTGAAGCTGCCGAATTCATGAGCTGCCCAAGGCTTGCTTTTTAAAAACTTTATCCTCAAAATTCCTACTAACAGATAAATGTTATTTTTTGCTATCCTTAGAACAGACATTAATGAAGTTCCTATTGTAAATCCATAAAGAATTACCAAGTGAAGTGTGCACTTTGTTTCAATGCAATAACTCAGTGCTGTGTGATTGCCTGGGTTAATGATGAAAAAGTCAAATATACTATCAGAGCTGATGGAAAAATCCATCACCAATTTGAAATTAAAATTCATCTGTGGTCAATAAGATTTAATATCCATGCAAGTGGCGCTGTAAAGAGTAAATGAATCAATGTCATCAATACATAATCAGTATGAAATATGATGCGAATAAAATTATGTGCAAGACTTGTGCATTCAGTGTTTTCTGGATCAGTGTGGAATGAACAGTCCCTTAACTGAAGGTTGACAGTAATTATTATAAATTAGGCATAGCAGTTATCAAAATCCACTCACTTCCATAGCAACTATGGGACTTATTAGGGAGATTAAAATAGATGTAAGAACTGTCCAGTTTCAGCATAGACACAAGACAACTGTTGATCAAAATTGTTTCCTATTCTGCTACTGCAAACCAACTATATTGTACATTAGAATTGAAATCCAAGTGATATGACACATACATAACTGAATGGAGCCAACAGGAAGTGAGAACATATTTCTTCAAATCTGGCCAACTCAAGCTATTGGACAAAATAAACTTAGTTACTTTCCTAATGCTTACATGATGGTTATAAAACCCACTACTGCACAGGTAACATATTTGTTATCTTTCTGAATATGTACTTATGAAGAAGCTAGACTGCATGTACAATAGCCAAAAATTTGACAAAACGTTTCATCAAACAAGCCACAAGACACTACCATCCCTCAATCCATTTATGTGGGATCCAGATTAAACAGCAGCCACTTCTCAAACTCAAAAAACCCTCTACATTTAGATTTCCCTGTTAACTACATTCAGTTATGTGACACCATTTGAAAAGATAGGTAGTACAGGCTGGACATACGTTATTCCCAGCTTAGCTCTAATAAAAGCTATAAGCAATTGTTCAGTATTCACCTTCTGGTCTGGCAGTAGTGGATTGCTCTGAAGTGAATTCAAATGGCCATTGATGAGAGCTGTAGGTCTATCATGTTCGCAGAATAAACTGCCATTGATATAGTGAAACCTGTCTCCGGGGACCAGGCGGTTCCGGCAGGTAGAGCACGTAAAACACTGAAATGGATGAACAAAAGCAAGGTTAAACTTTGGTCTTGACAGTGCCAAAATGTGCTAACATTTGGATTAGAGAAATAAAGGATGCACGGCTTTGTCCCAAAACAGAAACTGCACCTGTTGGAACTGAGTTGTACTTTTAGACATGGAGTGCCTCTAATCACCAGGATGACAAATGCATTATATAAAGACATTTTATTCATAACTAAGGCCATGTAAACCTCAGGAAATGTAAATTATATTCCAACATATATATATAAAGCTTTGAATTGAAGCTGCAACATAGAAAAGGTGATAGAGGGGATAAGTGTCAGTAAGACAAGCTTTCTTACCTTAAGATGATAGACATTCCCTTGTGCCCTCATAACCAGCTCACTAGCAGGAATTGACTGCCCACAAGCACTGCAAGCGCCACTATTTCCAAATAACCTGAAAACAAGAAAGTTGACACTTGTTACTTCCTCCCTATGAAGGAATAAGCCAGCATTGAAATAGCCATTTCAGCTTGTAAAAATCCTCTTCTGAAACTTGTTTGCATACTCTGGATACAGTAACTTCAAAATGCAACACAAGCCACAGAGTCGTAGAAGCATCCCATGCCTCTCAAGATGTGGATGCACGGGATCTAATAAAATATTGACTTGCATCTTGCAACACAAACCAATTCTCTGCAACACTTTTTATCAGATTACTGGGGTTTGTCATAAAAAAGGGGGAGACAGAATTCATGACTAGGGTTTAAATGCATTGTGTCCTTGAAATTATATGAAGAACTTTTTTGTACTTTAATCATATCTTGCGAGATGAGTCATCAAAAGGGTTAAGAGGATTTGATTGTATATCTAAGACGACATCATGCTCAGTGTATTGAAACTCCAGTAAACCTCCATCAGGGCAGAGTTTCCATTAGAAACTCTCGGCTATCCAGGTTGATATATAATGTGTATGGGTTAACCTTTTCAATCATGGTGTCAACACTTTAGATTTGCCTCTGCTCATCTCTTTCATCCTAACCTTCTCTCTCTCTCTTGATAATGAAATGCTTGCTCCAACTTCCCTCTATCTGCTCCTGAGTCCACAATTTAGATTACTTCATCTCTGCTAGCAACAAACTGAATGAAATTTCGATTTGAGCAGAAAGTAATTTACCGGGATCTGGACCCATTTGTCATCATATCTCTCTGGGTGTTTGCTGTATCACTGCAGTTTTCCTATGCAATCAAATGAGACCACAACATCTGCCATGGGTGGGGGGGAGAGAGCAGAGGAAAAGCAGAGGGGGAAGGGGGGGGGGAAGAGGACTGTAGAAAAATATACACAATTCCTTTAACGCATTTGAAGCTGCATATACAGTGGAGATAATAATTTAATGAATATTGAACTCCCACTTTTACAGTGTGTAAGATTTTTTTTAGAGATTTGTAGTTGCTGTTTGCTTTCCTGCAGTTTCTCACTGCAACCAGAATATATTTAAATGATGAACCCAGACACAACTGCCTTGGGTTCAAGCAGGGGGATCCTGAATTAACTGGCTCACACCTCACAGGGTAAGAAAAAGAGCACTGGATGTTAAAGCATTAACATAGTGGTGTTGTAGTAAAGATGAATTGTTTGCACTGCTTTTTTCTTTTGTCCAACAGTAAAGTCATACAATTTTTGTATGGTCTAACAGTTTGGAGGATTATTTTTTTTTAAAAGAACAACAACCAGAAAATACTATAATCTGAATGTTTGCTGCATGCTTCTGTATCAAGGAGACAGAGAAAGAAAAAAAATAATTGCTTTTGAGTTTTCCAGAATCAGTGCTTGCAGAGGGAGGCTTGTCATGTTCAAACTACTAATTTGCTGTCGCCACTTTATTGAAAATAGCCTGTAAGTTGTTATTAAATGTATCGACTGAACGACAGGGAGAGTAGTAAAACTGCCCCTTAAGATGGCTTTTAATAGGAAGCCTGAGAAACAAATTTTGCAGCAGCATCGATTTGAAGAGTTCAATCAAAACTCCATTTCAAAACTAATTAGTCTGAGATCCGCAACACACTGACACTTTCTTGTGAGTCAGAATGGGTACAAAGGGAAAGCTGAAGTGATACACTGCCAAGACCTCCAGCCTTAAAAGGACAGAACTGTCTAGAAAACTGGAGGGATGCTATTTTGGTATCGGCTCAATCAGAAGGACCAGTACAAAGTATTTACAAGCAGTACTGCAATTCCATACCCAGCATTACTATGTGTATTACCCTTTCCCCTTCCATCTACCCAATCACCATAAGCACCTATGGCAGTAGTCTATAAGAAAGTCATTTAAAGAGGCAGTAGGCAAAGCTTCTCGGGGGCTATCCATAAAACTGTGATCAAAGAGGCAACAAAATTTACAACGGAGGGTCTTTCAGTGTGGCAAAGTGAAATCTCATTGCTCCATTAATGTTCTCTTCCTAGAAAAAAAGAGACAGAGAGAAGGCACATGTGCACCTATACACACACATACACAGACGTATATAAATCTCCTTAGGAGGCAGCAAACACAGCAAAACTATCTCACAGTTTGCTGGTGAAGAGGGGGGAAATTCAAATGCTGCAAACCACTGAAAAGTATTTTTCATCATTTTGATTTTATTCTGCCTCATCTCCTCAAAAAGCATTCTGTCCTAACTCCTCCAAAACAATTGTACATTTGCAATTGAAACGAGAATGTATTTTAATGACTGCAACAGTCAAAACTGCAACCCAAGAGCTACCTGGGCATGAGCACTCTACACACACACAATATTTATTTTCTTAAATAATGATTTTGTATTTAAAATATTCTTCAAATATTTATTAATTTGCTGCATTAAGCCACTGCTACTAATGAAGTGTCCTCATTTTATCTACTTTTTTAAAAAAGTGTATTATTCTTCCAGTTAATGGCCACATACTCTATAGTAATTCCAGTGGAAATTTTAAGAATGTTTTGTTTTCCTAAGGAACAAGACAATGACTGCTAACTATCCTCTTTCTGAAAAGTTGCTTTTACATGGATTCTGTGAGAGAGCAAAGTTAATTAGCTAATCAGGGAGACTGTCCAGGACAGTATTTAATTTAAAAGGCTGGAGGCTTTAGGTGCTCAATTAAGTAGCTATCGGTCTCAGACTGGACTTTAATGGGCTCTTTTCTCTTTAACTCCAGCAATGGGGGAGAGATACCCCAGGTCAGGCTAATTAAAGCCAGGGGACTCTTTAATTGCGATGACAGAAGTGGTTTCAGTTTCCTTTCTTTGGGTCTTGGAGTCCAAGAAGGTTGTTAATATTTCAACATTTGGGCAACATAATCAATCACCAGCACTGAGATGTTGTATACATGGATGAAAGGCAGGTTTTACATCTTGTAGTATTATGTAATGCCGCCTTAAAATAAATCTACCTCTTTCCCCTTCCCAACCCACAGTCAAAACTTTAACAAAGGGGCCAAGGACAGTAAATTGGAGACAAAAGGACAATTTGGGCACCTTAGTCAAAAAATCAGTTTACCTATTTGTAATAAACTGTAGAAATATAATGCACAGAGTAAAGATTGTGAGCATTGTGGAGATACCACAGAAACCAAAAAGCCCTGGATGATTAGGTTCTGAAGTCACCTTTTCTCTTTGCATGTAAAGAAAGGGTGGCATATCTGTACCTGAATACATCCAAATTTTCATTTGAAAGAACTGCATATTTAGATCTACTGATCCACAAGCAATTGGTTTTCCTACACTGGATCCAAATTCTGCACCAGTTGTATCAGATGTAACAAAGACTACATTGAAAATTATGCCTCAAGCCAAGTCCATTAAAGGTACTTCAGCATAACTACAGCCCAAGCACCTTAAAAGCACCAGAAGCTATTGATACTTAAAAGGGGGGGGGGGGGGGGGGAGGCGGCTGTGGAAGTGCTGCATTAGGGAAGGGGGAAGAGGGAAAAAAATATCAGCCAAATTACGCTTGGTTAATTCAGAGTAACAGATCTGCCCCCAAGTGAATTGGAGGCCTTGAATTAATTCTGTTATGACAAATCAAGATAAACGTTCCCCCTAAATTGCATGCGATTTAATTAATTTTTGAGATCCTGGATTTTTTTTCCAAGCTAATAGTTCACATGCTCCTGTGCTGTCATTGTGCTTGAGTGGGCAGACTTCAAAGTGATATTAAATAACCAACTATTAGATTTACCTAGCACGTCCTATTGGAAAAATGCCATTTAATTACCTAGCCTGTTCAATTAAAGGGACAGTATTCCCTGAATATAGCAGCTTGCTGTTGATTACCAGAAAAATGAACCCGTTGCCTGGCGGCTCTCTTGCTTTCCTCCCCTCCTCAAATAGCTCCTACTGTGGGATAGCCATGTGAATGGCAATGAGAGTATCAAGGAGGAAGGAGAGCATCTTTTGCCTACTGGAAAGGGGATCAAGCATCTGCCCTCCCATGTCAGGCACAGCAACTGCCCTCCATCCTGAGCTCAGTTTGGACGGCTGGGTTGCTGAACACCTTGCTCTAACCATTATCCAGGCAATCTGATCAGGCCATTAATAAACTACAGCTCTGTCTCCCCACCAACACCCCCACAAAACCCAACTTCCTTCCCCTCCAGACTGGGCATAAGGAATCACAGAGCTATACTCAGAGACACTTGTACAGAAAGAGTTCTCAAACACTAGCCCTTTAAGAAATGCCTATTCTGCTTCTCCATGTTCCTTCCCCCCACTTTTCCAATCCTATCCTCGCCAATTCTCTCTTGCTCTCTCCAAGGCCAATTTTGTTAATTAAATGTTTTGTTTGCGACACAGCTCTCATTCATTTCGGACACGTCATTCCAGGCAGATCTAAGCCAGGGATGAGATCTCATTAGATAAAACCTATCAGAACTAAGAGAAAATGGAGGAGACACTAATTAAAGCTCTTAATTGTGCAGATTCACTGCCACACTGCTGCTTTATCAAGAATCTCATGGCTGGGGGGGGGGGGCTACCCAGCACCCTCCTCCCTTCCCAAAAAAGCTTTCAGTTCCCCCAGGGTAGCAGTGTTACAAGTTACGGGCCAAAAAAAGAGTCAATGGGCTTCCATTTCTCCAAACACACACACAGATACAAATCTGGAGCAGTTCTTAGACAGATTGGGTAAGACTGACTTCATAAAGCCCCAGCTCAGAAGCTGTTTAAAGGCTCCTTGCTTTAAGGAGAGGGGTAAGGGGGCTGGCTACATACCTATAATAACATAAAGCAGCCATCTATTCATTTCAGAGGCTGCATAACAACTTTTCTTTCCACTTAATAAACATATCCCACTGTAACTACAATTAAGGACATTTTTTTGAATTTCTGCAAGTCCTAAAACAACAATCCAGTACTCAATTCTCACTCCCTTCCTACCCAAACCTCAATTAAAATGGCAAACATATATTGCAGAATGCTGATGAAATGATAGATTAGGACACTTAGTTATACACATGCCCAAAAGCCATCAGGGTCACAAATGGAAATTTATACAACTGCTTCAGTAGGCTCTTATGCTATGGGATGGATAAGTGCATACCTGATATAACTGAAGTGTGCTGGATTGTCATTATATTGGGCAAGCCGCTTAGTTCTATTGAACAGTCAGAAGGATGGAACAAAATCCAGTCCAAATTTACTATCTGATAAGGCACCCTATTTATAATCGCCTATAGTAGGACTGTAATAAGTTTTGGGCACACAAAAACCTGAGGCAGAGATTCCAATAAGCTGGTCTGAACTTGCCTTAGGGATACAGTAGGCAAGTTCTCTTTTTAATTAGTAGTGATCAGAAGAGGTTTGTTTGATGGTTTTAGTAGAGAGGGATGGAATCTGTACCGTTCATTGAATCTGAACAGTAGTGTCAATTTTTCCACTTCAAACAAACCTCTTTTTCTAACCGTTCTGCTCTATTTAATTAGAATTCTGTCTCGCTTATACAGTTACTTCGGACAGGGATCAAGAATACATCACTGTAAGCCTGCACATACTGATTTTCGAGCATTTACTTTAAAAATCCAGACACTTAGCAAAATTAATGTAGCAATCCTTTAAAACCTCTCTACAGCTATTTTGTTTCCTGTATTATGCTTAGATGATTAAAGGTGCCAGTATTACAATGGGGAGAAAGGCTCATGTGCCATTATTACTTTAGTAACATTTTTCAAAAACAGCGATTGATGCCTCTAAAGTCACCCTAAGGTTTCCAAAATCCAACATCACACTACATACAGCTATTCCATAGTCACATAAAAGTTCAAAGCAGGAGAAGATTCAATAATGTTTGTAACCAAGTATCTGATGAGAGAACATAATAAGATTTCAACTGGGAAGATGGTTCCTTTTTCCCATCCAGGACCTGGGATATTTCCTCAAATGTAATATGAACAGTGAAGCTTCAGACTATAATGCCAACACCCCACATCGCCTTTGCTTTGCTTTTTTTCTGTGCCAAAAAAAGGTGGAAGGGGGCTGTTTAATTACGGATTGCTGAACTAGAACACCTCCTTAAAGCATTCATGTGCATCAGTCTATCAAGTCATTTACTCAAATTAGATGTGTAATCCCTCAAAATGCCTCCTTGCAAAATGAGTTTAAAGGAGTTCGGAGTTCACCTGAAAAGATCCAATGGGCACCTGACCGCTTAAATTCCTTTTCATTAATTGCTCCACAACTAATTGGGGGAGAGGGGAAGATAATATATCTTTGTAACTTAAAACAGAGAAGATTAAGAACTCCTGTTGTAATTATAAATGTCTGAGCCTTTAGCCATATATACAGGCATTTTCATCTACACTGAAAGATACACTCCACAACAACATGAAAGGGACTGGGCTGTGTGTATCCACTTTTTGTTGAAGATGCACCCCTGACCTTCTTAACAGTTAATCAACTCTTTCCCAATGAATGCAGATAATGAGTCACTCCCTTTCCAGTTAAAGGTGTGCAATGCAAAGAATAGTACAATATGTTGTCGAAGGCTTTCATGGCCAGAATCGCTGGGTTGCTGTGAGTTTTCCAGGCTGTTCCAGAAGCATTCTCTCCGGATGTTTTGCCCACATCTATGGCAGACATCCTCAGAGGATGTGGGATCTGTTGGAAACTAGGCAAGTGAATACCTCCCAACAAAGGATCCACCCAGCCAGCAACCAGCCAGACTTTGAAACTGCAAGGCTATTCAATGCTAATGAAGGTGGCCAATTGCAACATTCACACTTGCCTCAAGCAGACAAGAGTTCTTTCTCCCACCCTGGACATTGCACAGATATATAAACCTCACTTATCTAGTTTCCAACAGACCTCACAATCTCTGAGGATGCTTGCCATAGATGTGGGCAAAACATCAGGAGAGAATGCTTCTGAAACATGGCCATACAGCCTGGAATACTCACTGCAACCCAATAGTACAATAGTTACTGAATAGACAGCTGTTCCACTTTTTTTGCCCATCCACCAGTCCTAGTTAACTCTACAATTGCTGTCCTACATAGGGCTGGGATAAACACACACTTCATCCCTACAACAGTCTTTGGCAGGGCTCTGTTTTAGAGACCTTAAATGTTCAGAAGCCCCCTAAATGTTTTATCTACTTACTCTCGTCACAACTGGTCCAATATTTCCACCATAACTCAAGGAATTGCTGCAACAAATCAGGATTGTAGCTTTGAACTACCACCACTTGCAGGCACCTGGTCATTTTTCTTTGCTTCACAGAGAGATATGAAGTTGGTATCCATATTTACAAACACCTGTGGGTCCCCAGATATTTTGGCCTTCAACTGCCAGAAATCCGAACAGCTGAGAGTTGGAGGCCAAAACAACTGGGGACTCACAGATTGAAAACCGCTGACATACACAGACCATTTAAAAACTTAGCCAATGAATGCAGCCTACCTTCCCTCTGCCTCTCTTACCTGATATAATCGTTTCTGCACAGGATCATGCCGCTTTTAGTGTAGCAGGATGTGCCAATTTCTCCCAGTTGGGCTTGGCAGCAGGAACACTTCAGGCACCGGCTGTGCCAATAACTATCCATGGCATAGAGCAAGAAGCGGTCAGCAATCTTCCCTCCACAGCCTGCGCATCTCTTCCATGAGAGGGAGCCACTGGTGACCGGGGGAGGCTGCGAGCTGCTGCCCGGGTTCACCATGTTCTGGACAGGAAAGGGAGCAAAATGAGAAGAAGAGAAGGTTAACTTATCAGCCAGGGAGCCCTTGCATCTTGCCTAATGCAGCATAATGTGAGGAGGAGCGGGAGGAGGGAGGGAGAAGGATGGGGAACAGCGCTTGTTTACTTTCCAGAGTCTTTGTTCTGGGTTAATTAGCCGCCTCCCTTTCCAAGTTGGCTAGGGGTGCCCAATGACAGTGTGAGCCTGCAATGCTCCTGTCAAACTCAGAGTGACCCCGCTTTGTTTGCTGCTAGGAAAGTACACACACCTGGAGTCACACAGTCTGCATGGCCCTCCCAGATATAAATTGTTGGGGCCCCACAACACTAAAAAGAGAAGGGTGGGAGTACAGCCGAAATGCCTGGCTACAACTCTTGGGAGCCCCCGGTGGCGCAATGGGTTAAACCCTTGTGCTGGCAGAACTGGTCAGCAGTTTGAATCCAGGGACAGCGGGTTGAGCTCCCTCTGTCAGCTCCAGCTCTCCATGCGGGGACATGAGAGAAGCCTCCCACAAGGATGGTAAAACATCCAGGCATCCCCTGGGCAACGTCCTTGCAGACAGCCAATTCTCTCACACCAGAAGCAACTTGCAGTTTGTCAAGTTTTAGAGAGGGGGGAAAAAAACTCTTGGGAAGCACAGCTGCACTTCACAAGTTGGAAACAGTTCTGGGGCTTGTTTCGTTCTATTTTACAAGCGGGGAAAACCTAGGAAGCTGGGAAACTGGTTTTTCAAGGTCTCCTTTCTCATTCCATTGTTATCAGCAGGGGCCCAACGACAATTATCCCCATTTACTGTTTAGTTTTTTTAAAAAAAGATCAAATGAGGCGGAGGAGGTCTTCCCTCGCCCCCCTGCAAGAGAACGCTTTGCCGAATAATAATAGATCACTAGACTTTTAAGAAGCCTGTTAACTTCCTATACAAACACAATCTACTTTTGTCTCACTAATCTGCCCTTGATCAGCAATTTAAATGCTAAACGCTTTGTTGCCCTGCTAAAAAAAAAGTTTGGAGGTAATAGCAAAGAGGCACAAAACAATCAAGTATGCCCCACTCAGGAAACAGTGAGCATGGCTGGGGTGGAAAAAAAGGATACAAACAAATGTACAAGTGTGTTTTTCCGCTTGGTAATACATTCTTCATAAAAGCAGGGCACTGGGGAGATTAATAATGGAAACAATTCATAAAGCTTGCTTGAAACTGATTAATGCACCCGGAGGAGTCCAACAGACTTGGGTTTCTTCATTCCTTTATACCAGGCATGGGCAAACTTCAGCCCTCCGGGTGTTTTGGACTACAACTCCCACAATTCCTGGCCTCAGGCCCCTTCCTTTTCCCCCTCAGCCGCTTAAACGGCTGAGGGGGAAAAGGAAGGGGCCTGAGGCCAGGAATTGTGGGAGTTGTAGTCCAAAACACCTGGAAAGCCAAAGTTTGCCCATGCCTGCATTCGGATATCAAAAATATCAAGTTATTTACTGTCAATTTAGCAGTGTTTCTCCTTTCATTAAACGTCCCTGCTCACTTTAAGGCATTCAGCTATAACAACACATAGGAGGAAACAGATTAGCAAACTTTTTCAACTTAGTTTCCTTAAAATAGGCCTTTTTTAAAGAGAGAGAGAGAAGCGGTTTTCCTTCCAAATAACTCCTGATCATATGGTTCAGTTGACCACACAATAAACCAGCCTGCGAACTGCACCAATTAAGACTGTAACTAAAAACCCCGAGACTTGGGGGAAAGAGAACCACTCTAAAAGCCATTAGCATTGCATTTCTCTGAATGCATCATATACCTTTATGTAAATTGATTTCTGATGCATTTAAACTCACGAAATGGCCTTTTGTTACCATTTCCAGCAATACGAACCTGGCCTTTTTTTTCTGAGTTCTGATTAGAAACAAATCCTATTTCCACACCTCCTGCAAAGAACCCCAAAAGTGTCCCCCTCAAATGCAAACCCACTTGTGCCTTGTCCACCAGGGTCTGTGTGGGAAAAGAAAAAGTAAATATTGTACCTAAAGGGGAAACGTTACCCTGACAGAAGCACCCAGTAACCCCATTAAGCCAAAGCTCTTAAGGACAAGCAATACCTTAATGCTGATTAGATCTAAAAGAGATGAATCAAGAGGACTGACCAGAAAGTGACTCCTTCCCTCACTCACGAAGGAAGGACGGGAGCCCTGATCAAGTTTCAGGCAGAGTTGGGGAGGTGGCAGGAAAGAAGGAAGAGAAAAAAATACACAGAGAGAGGGAGAGAAAGAGAGAGAGACAGAGAGGAGGAAAAGCTTTTAACTGAACTAGCCTCGCTCTGGTAATTACACAGCCATTTCGGGTCCTGGAAACAGAGGCAATGAAACAAAAAGGAGAGGCGAAACACACACWGAGGGAGAAAAAGAGAGGGGGAGGAAGGGAGGGAGGAAGAGAGGGAAAGAAGGGAGAGAGGGGGGGGAGAAAGAGAAGGAGAGGGGGAGAGAAAGAAGAGACCGGAGAGAGGAAAAAGAGAGGGAGAAAAAGAAGGGAGAGGGGAGAAAGAGGGAGAGAGAAGAGAAAGAAGGGAGAGTGATACAGAATAAAGAGCTGGAGAGGGAAAGGAGAGAGGGGGGGAGAAAGAAGAGAGGGTAGAAAGGGGGAGAGAAGAGAAAGAAGGGAGAAAGAGGAGAAAAAGAGAGAAAGGAGAGAGAAAGAGGGGAGAAAGAGAAGAAGGGGAGAGAAAGAAGAGAGAGACCGGAGATAGGAGAAAGCAAGGGGGGGAGAGGAGAGGAAGAGGGAGAGAGAAGAGAAAGAAGGGAGAGTGGTAGAGAATAAAGAGTGGGAGAGGGAAAGGAGGGAGGGAAGGAGGGAGAGAAAGAAGAGAGAGGGTAGAAAGGGGAGAAGGGGAGAGAAGAGAAAGAGAAAGGAGAGGGGAAAAAGAGGGGGAGAGGAAGAGAAAAAGAGAGGGAGAGAGAAGAGAAAGAAAAAGAAGGGAGAGAAAGGAGAAAGAGGGAGAGAAGGAAGAGAGAGAGAGAGAAGAGGGGGAGAGGAAGAGAAAAAAGAGGAAGAGAAAGAAGAGAGGAAGGGGGGAGAGAGGAGGGAGAAAGAAGAGGAGAAAGAGAAGGAGAGAGGGGGAGAAAAAGAGGGGGGAGAGGAGAAAGAGAGAGGAGAGAGAAAGAAGAAGAGAAAGAGAGAGGGAGAGAAAGAAGAGAGAGAAATAGGGAAGGAGAGAGCCCTTTGACAGAGACTATTCATAGCGGCACAGCTTGCAACTGCAAAAATTGAAAATAATAATAATGGGATGCTTTAATTCACGGCTTGTTTTGAAATCAGCTCGATCCGGGGAGGAAGGGAGGAAAGAAAATGCCTCCTCCTCCTCCTCCTCACTTGAGATTTCTTTCTCTTGCCACTGTTTCCCAAGGAGTGTTTAGCTGCGAAGAAAGAAGTGCAAAGGAGGAGGAAGGGGGGGGGGAGAGAGTTGATGGGCTTGTTTGGCTTCCAAATGCGGGGAGAGGGAGGAAGGAAGGAGGGAAAGGGAAAGGGAAAGGAAGGGCAAGGGCCCGCCGAAGCCGCCGTACCTGTTTCCCCTCTATGGTGCAAGAGGCCGAGGATAACGTGGTGGAGGAAAGGCGGGGAGGCTCTTCGTGGCCAGAAAGCGGAGAGGCGGGAAAAGGGGGAGGTTGTTGACGGAGCAAGGCAGCGAGCGAGCCCGCACGGCGCGGGCGAGAGGGGGAGTAGCAGCGCCCCTTCTCTCGCTTCTCTCGCCTCCGGAGTCAGCAAGCGAGTGAGTCCTTCCTTCCTTCCTGCTTCCTTCCCTCCTTCCTTCCCTTCCTCGGCGGCTAAGTTTTGGCCCGCTGCTGCTGCTGCTGCTGCTGCTCCTCCTCCGAGCCCGGGTCCTCCCTCTTCCTCTTCCAAAATGGGCTCCTCGGTGTTTAAAAGTCCCGAAAGCGGCGGGTTGGTTCAGCGGGCGGGAAGCGGAACAGCTCCGGCTCCCAGGCTGGGTCGGCGCTCCTTCCTGCTCTCCAAGTGGAGGGAAGAGGAGGAGTTTCGGCCGCGGTGGCGTCGCTGTGGTCGGCGGGACGCGCGCAGGGAGGCCCCGCTCTGGCTCTCTCTCGCTCTCGCTCTCGCTCACTCGCTCTGCTTGCTCGGCTTCTGCTGCTCCTCTCCCTCCTCCGCCTCTGCGCTCTTCTGGCCCATGTGTTACTGACAGAGCAAAATCCCAACAAGTCCGCAGCTCGGCCCCCCGCGTCACAGCGCCTCGCCCAATCCCCGCGCCGCTTGTTCAGGCGGAATAATAAAACCGCCCAATCGCGAGCAGGGCGAAGGAACCAGGGGGCGGGGAAAAGGCCGAAGCAGGAGGGAGGAGGAGGAGGAATCGAATAGAGAGGAGGGTGCTTCTCTCTACTCTTAACGCGCTTCCACACCGCTTTAACTACTCTGCCTCATTCCTCTGTTTTTTTTATAGCCTTCTCTAAAGCCAATGGGATTTTGGCCTGCATCAATAGGAGTCTAGTATCTACATCTAGGGAAGTCATGCTACCCCTCTATTCTGCCTTGGTTAGACCACATCTGGAATACTATGTCCAATTCTGGCCACCAAAATTGAAGGGAGATGTTGAGAAGCTGAAATGTGTTCAGATGAGGGCAACTAAAATGACCAAGGGTCTCGAGAACAAGCTCTACGAGGAGCGGCTGAAAGAGCTGGGTATGTTTAGCCTGAAAACGAGAAGGCTGAGAGGAGACATGATAGCCAAGTATAAATGCGCGAGAGGAAGTCATAGGGAGGAGGGAGCAAGCTTGTTTTCTCCTGCCCTGGAGACTAGGACGCACAGCAATGGCTTCAGACTACAAGAGAGGAGATTCCATCTGAATATTAGGAAGAACTTCCTGACTGTGGAACTCTCTGCCCTGGAGTGTGGTGGAGAAACAGAGGCTGGATGGCCATCTGTTGGGGGTGCTTTGAATGCAATTTTCCTGCTTCTTGGCCGGGGGTTTGACTGGATGGCCCATGAGGTCTCTTCCAACTCTATGATTCTCCTCCCCAGGGGCATCAACAAACTATAACTCCCAGAAATGGATAGCATTGAGCCTTGGCAGTTAAAGCGGGGCCAAACTGCATGAATTCCACCGTGCAGATCAAAGAGTTGGAAGAGACCTCATGGGCCATCCAGTCCAAGAAGCACCTCTGACAAAGCACCATCCAGCCTCTGTTTAAAAGCCTCCAAAGAAGGAGCTTCTACCACACTCTGGGGCAGAGAGTTCCACTTCTGAACAGCCCTCACAGTCAGGAAGCTCTTCCTAATGTTCAGATGGAATCTCCTTTCTTGTAGTTTCTTGTCCTTTCTTGTAGATGTCCCAAAGGCCCTTCCACACAGCCCTATCAAAAAATTTGGCTTACGGAAGCAAGAATTCGTAATACAGCTTCAATGGAGACACCTTTTCCAATGATAACTCTTTCAGGAATGAATTTCCCATCCTAGAGGTAGATTTCTTTCACTTATTTATTATTTATTTAAAACATTTATACCCCGTCCTTCTCAACCTCCGAAGAAGGACTCAGGACGGCTTCCAACAGGCAACAAAATAGAGCATACCATAAAATATAACCATTTCTTGTTGTCTCATCCTTGTTCTTAACTATGAGCCGTTTGTAAGTCGGATATTTGTAACTCAGGGACTGCCTGTACTGACTAGGGTTGATGGGACAAGCTTCTATCACTGTTTATAGGGATGCTTCCTCTGCAATAAAATCCCATTTTATTTAGTTGTCATTTCTGTGGCGTAATGTAAAATAAACCACGTGTAGTTCACATTTGATCAGCTCACACACTGCCTTGCCAGAGAAAGAAAATAAGCCACGCAGATGAACAGTAAAAAAAAAAAGTAGGTTACTCTTTGTCAATCAGAACAACATATTTACAGTGTGTTCAGTTGCATCAACTCACATAATGTCCTTTTATGAGAGATTTAAAATGGTCTTTGTCCATGTGGAGAAATTCCTACAGCAGCTCATTAAGCAAGAGTACACTCTAAGCTATCTCTCTGGGTGCTTTACTCTTCTCTTTCTGCTGGACACCTGCATAGCTCTGCTGAACAAAAATGTAACGGTAACCAAAAGTCCCAGGCTCAGCTCAGGCATTGCCTGACCAATCAGATTCATGCATCTTATTTTGAAATTGACACACACACACTCAATGATTCCTTGCAGGCTCCAACAATTTCTACATAAATATATGCTTCCTAAGCTCAGAGGGAAGAATGCTCTTCTCTTATCAAACAGAACTCCAGCCATGTACATTGAGCATCCCTTATTTGGGATTCCAACATCCAGAAATATTAAAAAGTCATCCACTTGGGTGGCGGAGGTAGGGGTGCCTTTGCTTTCTGATGGGTCACTATACTCACACGTAGTTTCATGCACTAAATTATTTGAAATACTGTGTATAAAATTGCCTTCAGACCTTAAAAGATATATATGAGACATAAATGAACACCATGTTTAGACTCAGGTCTCACCTCCAATTGTGGACGGATGTGCAAAGAGAAGTATTTCAAAAATCGGGAGTGGAGGGAAGTGGGAACTAAACCTCTGATCCCAAGCTTTTCAGACCAGGGATAGCTTTATCTGGAGTCTGTGTTTCATATGCTTTTCGAGGTGTGCAGCACCTGTCTGCAAAAGTGCCCTGTGTATTAGCTAGGCCAGAGCCACCCAGTGGACTACACAACAGATGACAGGAGGTTTGAAATGGCATTATATGATTAGTGTAGACTCATCTAACGCAGTTTAACAGTGTTATATGAGTCTACACCAGGCATGGGCAAACTTCAGCCCTCCAGGTGTTTTGGACTTCAACTCTCACAATTCCTAACAGCTAGGCTGTTAGGAATTGTGGGAGTTGAAGTCCAAAACACCTGGAGAGTCGAAGTTTGCCCATGCCTGGTTTACACTGATCATGTAATACCATTTGCAAATAGCAATGCAGATGGGGCCCAAGAGGTCCTCCTTTGTACCTCCTTGTACTTTATCACACCAAGAAAGGTGCTTTCAGACACAACAGGTTTTGTAGTCTGCTCCAACAAGCTTAGGACTTTCCTAGTCAATATTTTTCATAGAATCATAGAGTTGGAAGAAACCACATGGGCCATCCAGCCCAAGCCCTTGCCCTGCAGAAAAAGCACAATCAAGCACTCCAAATAGATGGCCACCCAACTTCTGTTTAAAAGCCTTCAAAGAAAGACCCTCCGTCACACACAGAGGCAGAGAGTTCCACAATTGAACAGTTCTCACGGTCTGAAAGTTTTTCCTAATGTTCAGGTAGAATTTCCTTTCTTGTCCTTTGAACCTATTGCTCCGATCCTATTATCTAGGGCAGCAGATATATATATATTTCCTACAGATATACAACAAACCAGTACAGCATGGTTTTTCATATTAGTGCAAAAACTTGGAGCGTCCCAACTTAGAAATGATGAGTAGTTTGTAAGCCACTTTTTGAAAATAATATATCTAAAGTACATGAATTACTGTAATTTCTATCCCACCTTTCTTCCAATATGGAACTCAAGGTGGCTTTCAGTATATTTACAAACGGAGTATAGATAAAACAATGTATGGTGCAAAATTTCAAAATAATATGTTTTAAAAGGCACTACTTTAAAACATGACTCATGAATATGGAAGAACAACACATGCCATTAAGAGATCTTTCTACAACAGCACATTTGCAGCCAGAGGCCTAAACAAAAAGGTCTTTGCCTACAGGTGGAAGAAGAACCAAACAAGATTCTTGTAGGAGGGAATGCCTAGGAGAAGCCATAAAGAAGATCTTCTTTGAGTAAATCTACACTAGAAATAATCAAGTTTGACACCACTGTAACTGCTATGGTTCAATGCTGTGAAATCATGGGAGTTGTCGTGTTTAGCCATCTCTGTGCTGGTACCTCACAAAATTACAGTACTCAGGGTTCCATAGAATTGAGCCATGGCAGTTAAAGTGGTGTCAAATCGCATTAATTGTGCAGTGTAGATGCACCTTTAGTCCTTGTCACAGGGTGGGACCAAGAGAAAGCCCTCCCCGCTTATCTTAAAATTTGAGCAGGCTGATATGAGGAGATACAGCATTTCCATGCCAGACAATAATATAATATAACATTTTAAAAATACTCAGTTCTTGTGGGATTTTTTGGGCTATATGGCCATGTTTTAGAGGCATTTCTCCTGACGTTTCGCCTGCATCTATGGCAAGCATCCTCAGAGGTGAGGTCTGCTGGAACTGGGGAAAAAAGGGGTTTATATATCTGTGGAATGACCAGGGTGAGACAAAGGGCTTTTGTAAGTTGGGCTAGGTATGGATCTTTCAACTGACCACCTTGATTAGCATACAATGGGCTGACTGTGCCTGGAGCAAACTCTTCTTGAAAGGTGATTAGATGTCCCTGCCTGTTTTTCTCTCTGCTGTTTTTGCTGTTGCAATTTTAGAATTTTTTAATACTGGTAGCCAGATTTTGTTCATTTTCATGGTTTCTTCCTTTCTGTTGAAATTGTCCACATGTTTGTGGATTTCAATGGCTTCTCTGTGTAGTCTGACATGGTGGTTGTGAGAGTGGCCCAGCATTTTTGTAAATAAATTGAATATTTTAATGTAAACTTTAATACATTAAACGTAAACATAATGCTAGATAATAAGAAAAATATTCATGTTAATAAATAACATAAACAGGTTAAGCAGGGTGCACATAACTTTGGATCTCCCTCTCCAAGTCTCATTGTATGTATACAGACTACTGGACTAATATCCTTTATGTTTATAATACGAGCGATCATTTAGCCTTCAAGTCTGCTGAGAAAAATTACCAAATCACTCATTTACAGGTACTTTTCTCAGTCATTTCTGGCCCCAAAGAATCGGCTTTCCTGTCTGGTTGTCTAGACAGATTGCTTACCTGTCCAAGGTGAGCAGATAAGTATTTGCAAGCCTTCTTTGATCATGGAGGAACTCGGACTTTTGAATCCAAAGATTCATGTATGTAAAAAAAAACATGTTGATCTATTTGGAACAAAATTCCCATGCTTTAGAAGTCTCTCTTTCTTCTGTAAACCATGTTAGTGCAGTTAATTTGGATTTAGATAATGAATAACATTGAATAAGACAGTAAAGAAGGTGCAGATAATCAAGAGAG